TGAATCATCTTCACTTCCTTGCTATGGGTAAATAGCAGAACAGGCCGGTTTCTATGTCCTTACATGGCAACTGGTCTGTCTGCCTCAGAAAGAAATGGCAAACTACAGCGGGAAAAAATCTGACTGACTCGAGTGGCAGTTAGGTCTCATCTTTTTTTACGGTTGAAATTTCTAGACATAACCATAAGTTCTTCTTGCATAATTATCGTCTTCCCGCTTCTTGCATTCCTGCTAACTTCGATCTTTACAAATATAAATGCAAAGTCCATCATCATATTCTGTCGTTCTGCGTCTTTTTCGAACTGAGTTCGAATTCCAGTCGAGTTCATGACATTCCCTTAAGTGCTAATACCCTTGGGAAAGGTTTGAACCCAACTCTTCTGACATGAAGAGGCACTGTGGAGTAATGAATTGAGGCACGGATTGAGGAATCAGAGAGCTGAGATCGAATTCCAGTCAAAGGTATGAATTCTCTTCTTATCTCCCTTGCTATCTCCCTTAAATAGCAGGACAGGCTGGTCTCTATATCCTTTGATGGCAACTGGTCTGTCTGCCGCAGAAAGAAATGGCAACCTACTGTGGGAAAAGAACTGACTGACACGAGTGGCAGTTAGGTCTCATCTTTTTTTACGGTTGAAATTTCTAGACCTAACCATAAGTTTTTCTTGCATAATTCTCGCCTTTGGAATTCTCTTCCTACTTTTTGCTTTCCTGTCAACTACGATCTTCATAAATATAAATGCAATGTCCATCATCAAATTCTGTCGTTCTGCGTCCTCTTCGTTTATCCTCAATAATATGTTTGTTTTTTTGTTTTTTTCGTTTCTTTCACTCTCAATGGTAATTTACGCCTTTTTTTTACAGCGAGGTTCATCGTTTACAAGGGAGCACTCGAGGTAGAGTGTTACGCTAAGAGGTATTTTATATGTAGAGGCGAGGAAGATAACGGTTAACTATAGATTTCAACAGGTTAATATTGTCGTGATCGCTGAAACAACCTTTTGGGAGTCTGTTCCACAGACCAGTTGTTCCTGGGAGAAGCTGTTCGTGTGGAACATCTCGCCGATATAATCAGTAATGGATTTATCGTCTTGCTTGTGGGTGAAATGACCATTAAAAATGTTGTCTGTGAAACAAAACCAAGATAGATTTAAGAATCTATGGAGAATCCCACTGGAGTAAAAAATTATCCAGAATGCTGCTGATACCAAAAGGAATTCAGTCTAAGTAGTGTCGATGGTTGCTTGGTTTAATTCTGCATTCTCCACACCCAGCAGCCTCCTTGCTCTCCTTTCGTTGACGCTTACCAAAGCAACCACCAACGTCCGTCGGTTTTTATTTTCTCATCATTTAATCTGTGCGTAACAGGTCCCCAGGTGATAAGGTTAAAGCTTGGATAGATTGTGCCGGATATGAGCACAAAAAAGGGATCGTTTTTTTTTTTTTTTTTGGAGTGGGGAGCTCAGTTAGAATCTCGAAAAGCAAGGTGGACTGGGTGTGTGGAAATCAGCGAGGAGTGGCTGGTTAGAAAAGGAGGAATAATCAAAAATTATATATGCATCATAAATTAGGAGTGTGCAGAAGTTTGTAACAAAATATCAGTTCCGGTTTTCAACTATGATTTCTGTCTTGAGTTTTCAAACAAAGAGAAGTTTTGCAAACACACATGCACACACGCTCATATGAACAGGCACACATATGCACAGACACACACACACACACACACACACACACTCACAAACACACACACATATATATATATACAGATATATATATACATATATATATATACACACACACACATATATATACACACGCATATATATATATATACATACATAAATATATATATATATATATATATATATATATATATATATATATATATATGTGTTTTAAAAAAATATATAGAATCAAGACAAAGTTTTGAAGAAATTTGATAAGTGGAAAGCCGTTCCATTGATCCTAGATTTCATTACTCGTTTCGCCGTTGTAGGCTTCATCAGATGCAAAATAAAGAGAAAGAAATGTGCGTGTGTTTATATGTATGCATAAATAACGAATCATCGTATTTTCCCTATTATATTTTCTCGAGATTAAAGAATAAAAGAAAAATGAATGACTTTTAAAAATGTTTATAAAATTTTTTTATTCTGTATCTTTTTTATATATATATATATATATATATATATATATATGTGTGTGTGTGTGTGTGTGTGTGTGTGTGTATTCCAAAATATGACGGTGGGTAACGGGTGTTGCGTGAGCAACCGTTGAAAGAAATTAATAACAATGAACAATAAACCCCTTCAAAGTGGCTAAGGAATTGGCCCAAACCACACCAGACAATAGCCACTTTTCTTGTCTGTCATATACAAACGAAATATATAGGGCCAAATAGATATATATGCTTAGTGTCGGATCGTAATTTAAACAAAGAAATTTCTAAAGAAAGGGAATTATTTTTATTCATTAATCCGACATATTTCCATTACTTAAAATCATTTTAGTGGATACTCGTATTGTACACATATTTATATATATATATATATATATATATATATATATATATATATATATATATATAGTGGCCTCCCTGTCGTATTCGACGTATAAAGATCAAGAAGCTGAGTTCCTAGGAACCGACAGCTCAGACTCCAACACATGATTTGATTATTGTGGTGAAAGCTTTTTGCAGAACCAACCACCCTCTTTGAATTACCGAATAGTGGGAACTGGTGCACTACGTGCCACATGGTCCCCAAACGACCCTCCGGATTTTGAATTCTCCTATACCAGTTGTCATCCAAGTCTATAGAACCCAGTCTGTCCTGCTATTTACCCATAGCTAAAGGAAGAAGACGAGGATTAATACCTTTCCCAAGGGTATTAGCACGTAAGTGAATGTAATGGATTAGACTGGAATTCGAACTCGACATTTCATATATCGACCCTAGCTAGAGGCAATCGGATGTCTAGCCACACCGAAGAGCTGTGAAACAGCGAAACAGTCTGTCTGTGGATAACTTTATATAGGCCCCTGAAAAATTAATTTCAGTGCAGCTCTCTGGGAAGGGTTTGTAAACAGTCACTATTACGGCTGATGTAGCGAGACTCTTAGGCAAAAAGCGAATTGAGTCACTGTCGGTCACTGTGTGTGTTTATCTAAAAATACGCCTGTACTCATTTTTGTGCGCCGACGGCTTAGTGGTAGAATCTCCGACTGACACCAATTCAGTCGGGTTTCGATCCTAGCTAGAGTCAACCCGATGTCTAGCCACACTGAAGAGCTGCGAAACAGTCTGTCTGTGGAAGACTTTATATATATAAAGACTTCCACAGACAGACTGGTTTTTTATATTTTTATATATATATATATATATACTTTAAAAATCAGGAGGTCAATTGAATATGCGATTTTGGCTTCGATCTTACGGTATCATCAACGGAACCAATAACGCTTTTCTGTTAGAAAAGGTGATATTGAGAAAAAAAACCTACGCGCAGATTAACATTTGTATAATATTCAATGGCGGAACTCTCGAGGATTTTCCTTCTGAATGAATTATTTTCTTTTTTTTATGGGTGCAGCATTTTTAAAATCAAAATTATGGTTGAATTTATTTCTATGTATTACTAGTGCATTTGTTAAATTATTATTTATGAGGTCTCTTTTGTGCTCATAGATGCGTTTTTTTTAATTTCTGCATGTTTCTCCACTGTATTGTGAGGAACATTTTTGGCAGCTAAATTTATATATGCCTGCTTCAGAAATATTATTGCTATGGGTGTTTGAGGATCTAATTATACCCATAATGGTTTTGGAAGTGTTTGTGATTATTTTAACCCTAGAACTCTAACTATGGGTGTATAGTACCCAGCACAAATTTTAAAATTTTTAATTACAATTTTCAGTCCCTGATTTTCTTATCTAAATATGTTTCTCAGTTCCTATTAATGTTAACTCAAAGTACAAAGATTGAAGTGCCTGCATGTAAAATATTTCAAATAAGTTTTATATTTAATTTTTTTTCGATATTTTCAAAATCGGGTATGATATACCCATGGTTAGTCGTGGTGTAACTTTAATCGATGGTTCTAGTGTTAAAACTATTTAGATGCGATAGGTCGTTCTGGATAGTGGACATGATGGAGTTGCTCGGTAGTATTATGCATCTGTTTTCATATAATTTATTATTACGGATGATTCAAATATAATGTCAATTGACATCTCCAGTTGCCTTGATCTATCCACTATCCTTCTCCTCATCTTTTCTTCTATCACTCCTATCTGCTCTCGCTCCAAATCTTCTGCAACCCCCTGCATCCTAGTGGCTTTCCGCCTTGCTCGGGGCGTAATGCTTTAAAAAAAATGTTATTTTTGTTGCGATATTTTGTATGCCTTTCTTCTTGCGTTATGGATGAAATGATATAATTATTGTAAGTTTTTGAATGCGTTTTCTATATATGTTTCTTCTTTACGTAAAATTCGTTTAAAATATACGTTTATACATAAGATATGTTTAGGCTGATTGTTTTGTAAAAAATTTTTCCGACATTATTCGCAAAACATTCTTTATATTATATTCTTCAAATTATTCACGATTTGTTTCGCTTTCCTTCTTTCCTCCTTCGCTGTACCACTTTTTATCTTTAGCCTCTCATAAAACCCACACCTATTGCCGACATGAAAATGGCGCCGAGATGAAAATGGGACTATCTCTCCGTGAATCTGGAGAAACAGACGAGTGATCATCGCAGAAGAACGATTGGAAATGAATGTTTTCGAGCAGCGAGACGAAAATCCATGGCAGCTCTTCCTGTCTGACAGGGAGGCCAAGTTCGGCATTTGTCCAGGTTAAGCCGAAATACCAAATTAAATCGGATTTATTTCATGTCAGTGTCTAATTGATCTGCTTTCAATATCACTTTGTGGTTAATCACTGGGTGGCGATGAATAATCTTAAATGCTTACGATGGAAATCTGTCTTTTTGCCCCTCTATCCAGGGGGGGATTGGTTGAAGCACTGGCTGCAAGGAAGGAAGGAAGGAAAGAAGGAAGAAAGGAAGTAAGGAAGGATAAAGTGAAGGACGGGATGGCGGGAAGGGAGGAAGAAAAGATAGAGTGAAGGAAGGGATGGAAGGAAGGAAGGGATGGAGGGAAGGGAGGAAGGAAGGAAAGAAAGAAGGGATGGAGGGAAGGAAGGAAAGAAAGAAGGAAGAAAGGAAGGAACGATAGAGTGAAGGACGGGATGGCGGGAAGGGAGGAAGGAAAGATAGAGTGACGGAAGGGATGGAGGGAAGGGAGGAAGGAAGGAAGGAAGGGAAGGAAGGAAGGAAGGAAGGAAGGAAGGAAGGAAGGAAGGGATGGAGGGAAGGAAGGAAGGAAGGAAGGAAGGATAGAGTGAAGGAAGGATGGAGGGAAGGAAGGAAGGAAAGATAGAAGGAACGGATGGAGGGAAGGGAGGAAAGAAGGAAGGGAGGGAGTGAGGAAGGAAGGAAGGAAGGAAGGAGGAAGGAAGGAAGGATAGAGTGAAGGCAGGGATGGAGGGAAGGAAGGAAGGAAAGATAGAGTGAAGGAAGGGATGGAGGGAAGGGAGGAAGGAAAGATAGAGTGAAGGAAGGGATGGAGGGAAGGGAGGAAGGAAAGATAGAGTGAAGAAAGGGATGGAGGGAAGGGAGGGAGTGAGGAAGGAAGGAAGGAAGGAAGGAAGGAAGGAAGGAAGGAAGGAAGGGATGGAAGGAAGGAAGGAAGGAAGTGAGGAAGGGATAGAAGGAAGGAAGGAAGGAAGGAAGGAAAGATAAGGAAGGAAGGAAGGAAGGAAGGAAGGAAGGAAGGAAGGAAGGAAGGAAGGAAGGATAGAGTGAAGGAAGAGAAGGAAAGAAGGAAGGAATGGAGGGAGTAAGGGAGGATGGAAGAGAGGAAGGAAGGAAGGGAGGGAGGAAGGAAAAACAGCGAAAGAAAGGAAAGGGAGATCAAAGTGCTTAAAAGGAGAAACAATGAATAAAATAGTAAATAAAACGTTGAAGATGATGAAAAGGGTGGCGAGATCAGAGAGAAGAATAAAGTCTTACCTTACTGGGAAAAAAAGAAAAGAAATGAAGAAAGAAAGAAAGAAAGAAAGAAAGAAAGAAAGAAAGAAAGAACAAAGTAAGAACAAAGAAAAAAGTAAAATGTAAGAAAAAAGTGAATTTAAAGATAGAAAAGTGAGAACGAAATATAATTGAATTAAGTAAGAAAGAACGAAAGAAAGAAAGAAAGAAAGAAAGAGAGAAAGAAAAAGAAAATTAAAAGGCAGAAATTAATTTAAAGAAGGAAAGAAACAAAGTAAATTAACCTAAAGAGAGAAAAAATGAAAAAATTAAACTAGCCAAAAAATAAAAAATAAAAATAAATAAAAAGAGGAGAAAGAAAAAAGCAAAGAGAGAAAGAAAGAAACGGGATGAAAAATATGCGAAGGAAGGGAAAAAAAGGAAAGAACTAAATTGTCCATGAAGAAAAAAATGAATGAAAAAGGAAAATTTATTGAAAAATAAGAAAGAAATAAAGAATTAAAAGAAAAGAAAGAAAAAAAGAAAGAAAGAAAGAAAATTAGCCTAAAGAGAGATAGAATGAAATAGTGAAGTGACAGACAAAAAAGTCAGAAAGAAACAAAGACAAAAAAAGTGCAAAGTAATAAAACCTAACGTAAAAAAGTAGCAGAAAAATTGCCGAAGAAAAAGAGTGAAAGTAAAAGAAGAAAGACAGAAAGAAAAGAAGTCTTTGCTGGAAGAAAGAAATAAAAAAGGAAAAAGAAAGGTTTTTTCTAAGAAAGAAAGGAAGAAAGAAAGAAAGGTGAAAAGAAAAAAGAAAGAAAAACTTTATTCAAAAAAATAAAGAAAAAGGAAAGAGAAAATAAGAGAATGGAAGATAAAAAGAAAGGAAAACTTTGTTTAAAGAAAGAAAGGAAGAATAAATTCACCTAAAGTATGAAAGAAAAGAACTGGCTTGAACAAGAATAATGAAATACGTAAAAAGAAATGTAGTACACGAAAGAAAGAAAGAAAGAAAGACTGTATGAGAACAAGAAAAAGAAAGAAAGATAGAAAACTATGAAAGTAGAAAAAAAGAAAGAAAGGAAATATGGGAGTAAGGAAAAGAAAGATAGAAAAGTATGAGAGTATAAAGAAAGAAAGAAAGAAAGAAAGAAAGAAAGAAAGACTGTATGAGAGCAAAATGGAAGCCGGGAAGAAACGAGAATAAAGACAGCCAACAT